GCGGTTCAGGTTTCCTGGCTGTCTAATGGGAGCAATGACTCTGGAGAGAAGTGACTGTAGGAGCTTCCCGTGTACTTTAACATCTCTGTTCCATGTTCTGGTTATTTCCCATCTTCCCCAGACTGGTTTGTTGCTGATACTTGCAATGTGGTTTGACAGACCTACTACACTTGTTAGCTTTCCTGCAGGTGTCTCTTGTGACAGTGTGCTCACAACTGTTGTACTGTGCATTTCAACCAATGATCTATGTAGAATATTTCTGCTGTACTGACTGGGCTTAACAGTCAATAATTCTAAATGTGTGGAAGTTTCTTAAGAAAAAAGAAAAAAATGTCAGACCCTCTAAGGTGTGTATACGTACTCTGGTCTTTGTGTGGTTTTACATTTCACTAACTAAAATAATTTTTTAAGAGAGGAAGGAGAGGAGGGTGTGGGGGCAATCACGAATGTACCTGTGCCCAGAACGAGTCTCTGCATTCATTAAAGACTGTGGATTCAGTTGCACGTTCTGTTGTATGCATGCATTTACAAATCACTTCCTCAAGGGGAGGAAATTTCTTAATACATTCCTTGTTCTGCCAACTGTTGTTTGTGTCTACTGCTAATACTGTGTGGGATTTAATCGCTGCAGGAAGCAACTTTCCCTTGAGCCTTTAGCTTTGTCTTGGCTTTTACAATCAAGAGGGCATTTAGGAAGTGGGGCAGAGGAACAAGGTGGTCAGCCAAAGGGCTACATCATTGTGTTTCATGTTCTGCACGCATGCTTTAGTGGGCTGAGATGCAGATCTGCAGCAGTAAACATTAAGGATCTGGCAATTAGTCCATAAGAGACTTCAAAAGAGGAGACTCGTTTACTACACTACTGGGTATGACCTTCAGCAGCTGGTCCCAAAGACCCTGGGACGTGAAACTTCTGTGCAAAGGACAGCAGGGTGAGCATGAGGCAGATGTTCCTTACTGCAAAGTTGTGGTCTGCACTCTCTCTGTGGCAGCAAAATGATGAGTAGCTAAGCAGCACCTAAATGCTTTTCTTCCTCTTTCTGTCCACTGCTTGATGTCTGCCCTGCTTGATTAGGATCATGTCTGTGTTCTTTCCCCAACACATACCCAATTCATGCATGTCCCACCACCCAGAACATACCCTGTGGTGTGTGTCATGGCCACTCAAACCTTTGTAGTGATTGAATTTCCTGTCACCTGTTCCCAAAGGCAAAGCGGCAATGGAGATGAAATAAGGAATAAGCATCCCAATGTAGCCTCCTACACCAGGTTATCATGGCACAGTAGAACCCTGGAATGAGCCTGGAGGCTGACGGTCAAGTCACCAGGTGGACATAATTTCCAAAATGAGGGCCAGAAGCCTTCAGTTACACAGAGAATTATGGTCCGAAGCAATGTTGAAATACTAGAAATGGTGCAGCCCAAGTGAAGCTGGTGGGAAATAGGAGGTAAAATAGAAGGTGGAATATGAACTGAAGTCACAGCTGTTAGAGAAACACACAGACATTTGCAGTTGCAGTGAGATAGGTTCTTACTGTGTGCGCAATCCATCTGTTGTATATGTAAAGATCTTTTGTAGGCTCGTATCTTCCCTGCTATTCAGCTACCATGTTCCCTTAATGTCTCTTTCCACACTGCCTGCCACCAGTGCTGTGTGACATGGCCAGTCCTCATTTTATCTGCTTATTTCTAGAAACAGGACTTCATTTTCCAGAAAGCGCCCAAGGACCGTCCAGTCACTATGTGTGAGAAGCTGAAGGGAACATCCGTTGTCTGATTCTTCGTCTTTTAAAAATACGAGTGCCCAGTGGTGCAGCACACTTCAGACGAAGACGGATGCCTCAGACCAGACGGGCTCGTTGGTCTCAGCATCAAGCCAGCAGAAATCCTCCGCTTTGTCCTGGTGTTTCCAGCAAAGGTGCTCTTGCAGACGAGGTGAAAGCCTTAGAAAGCAAAAGCAGGATTCCCCTCAGGCTGATTTGTGGTACATACTAGACATGCTGCCGGAGCCAGGAGCTATTGTATTTGCCGCGGGGCCGGCAGAGAAGAGGCGGAGACCCCAGTGCCCTGAAGCCCAGCTTCCCAGGCCCCTGGCAGGGACCTGGCTCTGTCAGGTGTGCTGGGACCCAGCCAGGGTGCCTGAGTCAGCCCGGGAGAAATGCCATCGTCTCTTCCTCTTCGCAGGGCTGCAGTTCGGTTTTTAGCAGGAAGAAAAACTCGCCCCAAAAGGAACGCTGAGCCTGGCGCCGGGCGGGCTGCTGCTAAGGCGCGCAGGGCTTTCTCGGGGAGGAAAGTGCAATGGTGAGTGGGAGTCGCCCTGTCCAGTCGGTTGGGTCTCCTCTGGGTGGAAGCAGCGCGGGTGGGTCAGAGCACGGAGCGGTGAGGCCACGAGACTGCTTAGTGGCTGGATGAAAAGCTCCCTGGGAGTGTTTAACCCTCCTGTTCCTGCCCTGAGCAGGTTAATCAAGCTGACCCCTTCTTTGCTCTGCAGTTCCTTACGGTGCAGCCAATGCTTTCAGTCACCTGCTTGGATTTTAGCATCTGCCCCAGCTTTTCTGTACTGGAGGTATCACCTGGTCTTAGGGCGGTTGGAGCAAAGAGGAGGCTTGTGCCCTGGATCATGCAGTGGACCCTTCTTGAGGAGATTTCCTGTCCTGGGAGATGGGACCTGCTGAAAAGCACATGCTGTCTGTTTAGAAATGGCCAGGTGAGAGTGGCTGGGAATGAAACATCCTTCCTTCCAGCAGCTAGCTGGCTTTGAGGTTAAAGCAATGTTCTCCTCTGAAATGCAATAATGAATTAATTCCATGAGCATTCACTTAAAGCATGCTCTCAAAGGATCTTGGATCGACAGCAGAGCTCAGGGAGCGCAGCACGAAGTTCCTTGTTAACGGCACACAAACAGAAATAATAGATTAGTGGCTCTGGTTTCTCTAACCTCTGATGTTCTTCCCCTTGGGATCTCCCTTTGTCTCTCTGCCACAGCCCCACGCGGTGAATGGCAGGCAGCCGGTGCTGGCTCCATCCATGAGCCGGCCAGGTGTTACCCCTGGAGCTGTATGGGCACGGAAGAGGAGATGGTCCCTGCCTGTGAGCAGTCACAGCTGGAGCAAGTGCGAGAACAGCTAGGGGAAAGAGAGTATTATCCATATGCTGGGGAGTTGATGCTGAGAGGTGGAAGCACCTGTGGTAACTTTGAGACGTAAATCTAGAGCATCTGATCGCTGGATGTGTGTGTTAAGTGCATTCATCCATCTCCCCTC